GGCTGAACTATGAAAATGAAGTGAGTACAAATATGAAACCCTAATTGGTTGTACCCCCTATGGGATACCCCACTATAGCCTACACAACAGCATAAGCTATAATGTTCTGACACACCCCCATAGGCAAAGTGGGGGAGAACAAGGGGTCACAAGACCAGTCAAGCAAAGCAAAGCAAAGCAAGCTCAGGGTGGATCACAAAGTCACCACACAGTCCGAGCACAGGGTCAAGGCCACACGGCCAGTTCACATGCAAGAGTACACACATATATATAAAGCTAGACAAGCAAGAGCAGGTATATATATATGTGAGAGTACAAGCAAGGTCAAGAGGAGAGCAAGTGAGGCAAGACAGGCACAAGACTCAGCTGAGTGCAGAAGCGCTGATGATCACAAGGCGGAAGTGCCTTGGTGAAGACATCAGCAGTGTTGGCCTCAGAGGCCACGTACGCAAGCCGCAACTGTCCACGTTGCTGTAGCTCACGAGCAAGGAAGTAGCGGAGAGCAATGTGCTTTGTTCTGTGCTCCAGTCGCTGCTCTCGACACAAGGCCAGCATGGCCTTGTTGTCTACGTACAGGACTGGAGGAGAACGAGGCGGCTCTCCAAGGTCGGTCAGCAGGTAGGTGAGCCAGCGAAGCTCCTGTGCAGCCATGGCCCCGGCGTAGATCTCAGCCTCACAACTCGAGCCAAGAACAGAAGACGAGCGAGTAGCCCGCCACGAAACAGAGCCGGAACCAAGGCTGAAGGTGTAACCCTGTGACGACCGCTGCGTAGCCTGGTCGTCAGCCCAAGAAGCGTCCGCGTGCCCAGTGAGGACCACTGGACTCCGCCCTCCAAGCACTAGCCCCATGCCCGACGTACTGCACAAGTAGCGCAACACCCTCTTCGCTGCAGCCATGTGCTCTGGTCTGTGTCTCCCAGGAGCAACATAGCGTGCACGAATGCTAAGAGGGTATGCGAGGTCAGGTCGTGTGCAGGTCATCAGGTACATGAGGCAGCCAACAAGCTCTGGGTACGGGCCACTCGACTCTACGGACTCATCCGAAGGCAGAGCTGAGAGCGAGTGGCGAGTAGACAGAGGAGTGGCCTGAGGCGAGGAGTACGTGAAGCCGAAGCGCTGAAGGACCTGCTGCACCATGTGTGACTGAGTCAGGGTAATGGTGCGGCGTGCTCTGTCCCGGGTGATCTGCAAGCCAAGGTAGCTGCGCAGTTCACCCAGGTCTGTGCACGTGTGTCTCTTCTGCAGCTCGGACTTCACGTAGGCGAGTCCAGCAGTGTCAGCTGTGCCAAAGACCAAGTCGTCGACGTACACGAGGATGTAGAACGGCGGCAGAGAGGTGTCGGTGCGTAGAAACAGCGACGGGTCGGCAGTAGAAGGAGCAAACCCAAGAGCCGCAAGCGTAGTCCTCAGTGTGTCGTGCCACTCACGTGGCGCCTGGCGGAGACCGTAGACTGGACGCCGGAGACTCCACTGGGTACCAGGAGGGAAAGACCCAGTGAAGCCAGGTGGGCGACGCAGCCAGATCTCCTCGTGCAGGCTGCCCTGCAAGAAAGCTGTGCTGAAGTCAAGAGAGTGCAGCTCGTAGTCACGGTGAGCAGCAACGTGCAGCAGTACCCGAAGAGTGGTCATCTTCGGGGTGGGGGAGAAGGTCTGAAAGTAGTCAACTCCCTGCCGCTGACTGAAGCCACGAGCCACGTAACGCGCCTTGAAGACAGGCGGAGAACCCGGCGGCCGCTTCACCCTGAAGATCCACATGCCACTGACGATGTTCGCCCCAGGAGGGGGGACAGCGTCAACGTAGGTGCCTGTGGACTTCCAGGAAGCCATCTCTGCATCCATAGCTGCCTGCCACTGAGAGGAGTAGGGACCCTCTATCGCCTCCGCGTAAGAGCGCGGAGTCGGGATGTCAAGTGCATCCGGGTCTCCCTCAGGGGTAAGCAGTACGGACACGAGATGAGGTGAGGCAGCTGCCAGACACTGGAACTCCTCCTGCCTGTCCTCAAGGACGTCCGTGCCAAGGGCACACTCACCCCCGACGGACGGAGGACAGACAGACTCAGACTCAGCGACAAGACTAGCAGCGTAGTCTAAGCGACAGCGAGCAGCAAAGTCGACGAGCTCAGTAACGAGAGCAGACGCAGCAGTAGACTCGAAAGAAGGGTCAGTGACAACAGTAGCAAGGAGACGCGTGACAGTAGGACTGGCAGCACGAAGAGAGTCCGACTCCGGGTCGGCAAGAGCAGGAAGAGAGGACTCAGGAGTAGAAGGCAAAGGGGCACGCAGAGGAGCAGTGGACGGACGCAGAGACATCCGGTGCGTGCCAGGGACAGGAGGAGGACGCTGACGCGAACCGCGACCACTAGTGCGAGCAGCACGGACAGGCGACGCAGGGCGAGACGCAGGCTCACGACGCTCAGCCAGACCTCCAGTAGGACCAGTGTAGGGAGAAGGAGCAGGCAAAGGGGAGGTAGGCTGCAACTGTAGCTGGGACGAGACAGGCTGTGGACACTCTAAGGGAGGAGGAGGACCAGTAGAAGGTGGAAGACCAAGAACCTGCTGCAGGAGTGGAACGAAGTACGGTCGAGGCCGCGCGGCGACGCTAGAAGCAGCAGGGACAGCACCAGAACCCTCAGCAGGAGCACCCGCTCCAGCAGCACCACCAGTAGCTCCAGAACCTCCAGCAGCACCAGGAGCACCCCCAGTAGGACTGCCAGCGGTAGTCTCAGCGCCAACACCCTCAGCAGCACCAGCTCCAGTGCACCCAGGACGAGCACCTCTGGGACCCGCGACCGCAGCACCCTCAGCAGCCGAAGGACCTCCAGCACCAGCAGCACGCCTCCAGCGCCGGGCAAACCACTCACGCAGCTCCTGTGGAGAAAGTGGCTCCCGGCGAGACGAAGCACTCGGAGAACCTCCAGGCGGAGCACCTCCAGGCTCAGCACCCCCAGGCGTAGCACCCCTAGGCTCAGCACCCCCAGGCTCAGCACCCCTAGGCTCAGCACCCCCAGGCTCAGCACCCCCAGGCTCAGCACCCCCAGGCTCAGCACCCCTAGGCTCAGCACCCCTAGGCTCAGCACCCCCAGACGTAGCACCCCCAGGCCCAGCACCCCTAGGCTCCGCACCCCCAGGTACAGCACCCCCAGCCTCAGCACCCTCAGCAGCACCAGAGTCACCAGTGACCTCGACAGGCTCGACTGCGTCTACCTGGGACACACCTGAAGGGGCAGGACCCTGAGGGGGGAGGGGGTCTACCTGGGGGGGACCTGGTACCAGGAAGAGTGGGGGTGGGGGGAGGGACGGAGTGCGGTAGGGGAAGAGGCGGTAGTAGGGGACCGACTCGTCAAACGTGACGTCCTGGGAGGACAGAACACGGCGAGAGGTGGGGTGGTAAAACTGCCACCCAGGCGCGTCAGGGGGGAACCCCAGGAAGACGCAAGGAGCAGCACAAGGGGATAGTTTGTCCGCAGACAGGTCGCGGACAAACGCCCGAGATCCCCAGACCCGGAACGCCGACGCATCGCCAACCTTCCCCGTCCACAGCAAGGCTGGGGAGGTCTCCGGCCTGGAGACCCTGGGGTGGAGGTTGATCTGATGCGCCGCGTACCTCACCGCAAACGGCCACAGAAAATGGGGGGCAGCCGCATGCATCATAGACGTACGAGCGACGTCCATGACCATGCCAATGCGGCGCTCAGCAATCCCATTTTGCTGCGGTGAGTCCGGAAGCGTGAAGGTCTGACGGATGCCCCGTGCACGACAGTAGGCACGCAGAAGGCCAGAGAAGAACTCTCCGCCTCTGTCTGAGTGCAGACGCAGAACAGGAAAGTCCGAGCCGAAGCTCTGCCTGAGCTGGAGACGAGCTGCGCGGATCCAGTCGATCAGCACCTCAGTGACATCACCCTTGCTGCGCAAGGGGAAGACTGTGGTGTAACGCGAGTAGTCGTCAACAACGAGCAGGAAGTAGCGCTCGTGACCCTGTCCACGGACGCGGGCTGGGCCCCACACGTCCATGTGAAGTGTCTGCAACGGGGCCTCTGTCGAAGGAAACTGGGAGGAGTGAGGGGCAGCACGCTGGCGCCCCTCGACACAGGGGACACAGGCAGGGCCAGGGCCCTGAGGAAGGGGAGGGAGGGACCGGGGGAGACCGGACACAAGAAGATGGGAGGCCATACCTCTGAGCCGAAGCAGAGAGGGGTGGCCAAGGCGGTGGTGCCAGAGGAGAGTCTCGTGAGACAGGAGACGACACGAACAGGGGGCAGACTCAGGACCAGACCTGGACGCCGCAGCAAACACCTGACCCGACGTAACTACCCTACCAGACTCAGCAACTGGAGGAGACGCAGTGGTCAGAGTGTACAGGCTCGACCCCGGCTGACGGGTGAACGTAGCCAGGTGTCGGCCTGTGCCAGCCTCTGTACAGTGGGTCACTCGCTGACGTGCAGGTGTGAACTGGTGGACACCCGCATCCTGTAGGTCAGCACCACTCACCAGGTTCGTCGAGAACGAGGGGAGGTAGAGACCAGACAGGGTGCCAGAGGGAGCCGCCGGACACGGGAGGACTGTGGAGAAACGAGACAGGACCGGACTCCCAGAGGGGTCAGCCAGAGACACCGCAACCGGCCGACTAAGCGGCGTGAGTGTGGTGCGGTCCCGAAAGAAGGAGCGAGACGCCCCAGAGTCAAGAGTGAAGGTGAGGGAGGCCGAAGCCGACGCGGTACCTGAGAGAGCAGACTCACCAGTACCTGAGGACGCAGACACACCAGCACCTAGAGCAGCAGCGTCGTAAGCACCTAGGGCAGCAGCCTCACCAGTACCTAGAGCAGCAGTCTCAATGCCCGGATCGGGCTGGAAACACCGGTAACAGTCACCCTCATCACTAATAGACACAGCATACATGGCAGAGAGAATAGCATCAAAGTCCAGATCAAAGATGGCAACCCCCGCCCTAGACAGCTCGTCCCAGCGAGGGATCTTGGAGGCCTCCGGGAACTGGTGACGCCATGCGTCCGTCAGGCGGCCAAAGCAGCGCGGAGTGGGGTGCGCACCCCCACACTGCTCACCCGCACGGTCGCCGGTGCGCAGGACGTAGGTACACGGACCAAAACCCCCACCCCGCTGGCGTGCAGTGTACCACTCACGGAGCTGCTGAGGGGACAGGGTCGCACGACCACGCTGCTGCTGCTGGCGCGAGCCACCACCGGAGCCACTCCTCTGCAAAGACCCGCGACCAGCTCCACCGCCACCCCCCACCGCCTCCACCGCCTCCGCTGCCTCCACTGCCGCCGCCGCCTCCACCGCCTCCTCCACCGCCGCCTCCTCCGCCACCTCCGCTACCACCGCCACCGCCGCCGCGGCCTCCGCCTCCACTGCCGCCACCGAACCCCCCACCCCCACCTCCACCTCCACCGCTACCCCCACTCCCCCCACTGCCTCCACCTCCACCTCCACCGCCCGCTCCTCCAGCTCCCTTGCCCCCCTTGCCCTTGCCAGGGCGGCGTCTCCCGCTAGGGGCAGACACCGCACCGACCGACTCAAGACCAAGGAGGTCGGCCGAAGCAGCAGAGGCAACAGAGGGCAGCAGGGGGGAGGGAGAACACCCCTCAAAGATGGGGGTGCGCGGGTCACCTCGAGAGGCTCCTACAGCGACTATGCTCTTTTCTATCGCGAGGAGGGCCTTCTCGAGGAGGTCTACAGTGAGTGTGGTGGGACAGACTGAGAGAAAGTGGTCCCTGACTACTCGAAGGGAGTCAGGGAGGCGAGTGACTAGGAAGTACAGAGTGATGTACATGGGGGGGGGGTTCGCGGTGCAGAAGTCAGCAGGAAGTGCAGCGCGGTAGCGAGTGTCACTAGTGCGGAGGTGCGTAATGAGGTCAGCAACGGTGGGAAAAGAAGCAAGGTCAGGGAAGAGGTACGGCAGCATGAGACGGCTCAGTGCAGCAGTGGAAGGGGAGGAGTAGCGCGCGACTACAGCGGCGTACAAGGTCTGAGCACTCTTGTACTGACTAAAGTGCGCATGCTCGGAGGTAGGGAGGTGGCGACGCACAGCAAGACGTGCAGCAGCATCGCGCGTGGCCCACTGGGAGCGAACAGTGGCGTCAGCATCAGCAGCAGGGGCAGGGGAAGCGCCAGAGGTGAGGTCAAAGAGAGAGAGGCCGTCCGCCCTATCGCACTGTAAGAACAGCTGTAGGTCATCTACCCAGACCTCAAAGTCAATGGCCCGACCCTCAGCGTCAAAAGTGAGGACACTAGGGGTAGCCATGACAGCAGTAGACCAGCAGTGCAAGGAGTAGGGGAAGAGCACGCAGTGACAGAGGGTCTGTGCTCACCGGACAGGGCTGCTCGGGCGGCTCGGCTGCAGGGCGGCTCGGCGGCTGGGCGGCTCGGCAGCTGGGCGGCTCGGCGGCTGGGCGGTCGGCTGCACGGCGGCTCGGCTAGTGGGCGGCCGGGCGGCTCGGCTGCAGCGCGGCTTGGCGGCGGGGCGGCTCGGCTGCTCTGCTGCTGGGCGGCTCGGCTGGGCCGCTGACGTAGGGCGGCGGGGCCGCTGTAGAGAAGCGGCGGGGCCGCAGTGAAGGGCGGCGGGGCCGCAACGAGAGAGGCGGCGGGGCCGCAGCGAGAGAAGCGGTGGGGCCGCGAAGTCGGGCGGCGGGGCCGCTGAGTAGGGCGGCGGGGCCGCAGTGAGAGGCGGCGGGGCCGCAGCGAGAGAGGCGGCGGGGCCGCGAAGACGGGCGGCGGGGCCGCTGAGACGGGTGGCGGGGCCGCAGTGAGTGGCGGCGGGGCCGCAGCGAGAGATGGCGGCGGGGCCGCGAAGACGGGCGGCGGGGCCGCAACGAGAGAGGCGGCGGGGCCGCAGAAAAGGGCGGCGACGGGCCGTAGGCGGCGCGAAGCCGCAGGTAAGGGCGGCGACGGGCCGGGGCGGCTCGAAGCCGCAGGTAGAGGCGGCGCGAAGCCGCGGGAAGGGCGGCGACGGGCCTGGGCGGCGCGAAGCCGCAGGTAGGGGCGGCGCGAAGCCGCCGGTGAGGGCGGCGCAAAGCCGCGGGTAAGGGCGGCGACGGGCCGGGAAAAGGGCGGCGCGCCGCAGCCGCTAGGGCGGCTCGACGCGACCGTAAGGGCGGCGCGACGGGCCGCTAGGTGCGACTCGACGGGCCGCTAAAAAAAGGCAGGCGCGACTCGAGGCGCGCTTCGGTGGGCCCAAGGAACAGTCCCTAGGAGGGGACCTGCTCTGATTCCATGTGAGAATGAGAACGAGAAATGGCTGAACTATTAAAATGAAGTGAGTACAAATATGAAACCCTAATTGGTTGTACCCCCTATGGGATACCCCACTATAGCCTACACAACAGCATAAGCTATAATGTTCTGACAGAAAGCTCGATTTTAACTGTTTCTGCTGTTGCGGTTCGATACAGTGACGACTCGGGTAACTGCTCAGTATCGAGTCAGTTATGTGTCCTTGCTGTCGCACTGCATTTTTTGTCAGGTCAAAGGTCAGTGACCTTTGACCTTCGCGTAACCTCCAGCGTTTGTCTTTAGTTGACTCGCGTGTTGTTTCGCTTGTAGTCTGCTTCGTTTCGTGTCGATGCTTCGATTACTTCAGAAGCGTTTAAGTTATTTGTTTCCAACACAAATGACCGTTTTTGTCTAGCAACTTAGGACCAGGGCTAATTTTTGGTTTTGAGCAACCCTTGTGATCAGTGTTGCACCTGTTCAAAAACCTGATTATCAGTGTGACACCTTCTTCAAACCCTGATCCATCAGTGTTTTTCTTGTTTTTTTTAAATCCAACCCTGTGGCATCAGTGTACCAGTTTAGCAAACCCTTATGAATTGATATTATCGTTGCACACAATATTTTTTTTTAGATCATACATGCCACATGGGTGTTGCTCGTCGTCAGTTACTTCAGCAGGCTCAAATTCCGGTTTCGACATTTGGCAATCGGGAATCCCGGGGTTACGGGAAAGGGGGGGTGGGGGAAGTGGGGGGGAGGGGGAGGGGGGGGGGGTATGGTACTCGCTTCAGGGTAATACTCGTTATGAAGAACGGTAACCCTGAGGCATCAGTGTGCCTGAAATGTGAACCCTGGCATATCAGGAAAATCATAGCTCCACAAAAAATTACCCTAGGCCATTAGTGTGACTACCAAAAACCACCATGATAATCAGGGTATCAGGGTGATTTACACTGATAAAATTAGCCTTGATTAGGACTCCAAGGTCACCTAAAATCTCAATCCGGTACCAAATATCTTATTTCTGTACATATCTTCAAGCGTTTTGTTTTGTGTCAAATCTAATGCAGCGCAGAAATCGACGCCGAAATCCACGCCGAGCAGCAAGACATGGACCTGCAAGAAGAACGACACAAGAGAAAGGTATCAGTGCCCGAATTCGCGTTTCACACTCAACGGCGCCACAACAACAACAACAATCGACCGAAAATCGTACCTCCGTTCTGCCACCTCTGCAAGACTTCAGGGCATCCTCGTACGCACTGCCCGAATCGACAACAGTCAACGTCGCCGCAACGCCAACTTCGCCCTTCAAGCAGTCAAGTCGCCTCAACGCAAGCAAATCCGACAACTTCAGTACAAGTCTCAACAACATCGACGGGACAACCTGCGAAAGGAACAAGAAACATCGTCAGCTGCATGGCAAGGCTGAGTGACTCCTGCGTAACTGAGTCACCACCATATTACTCACCAGAAGAACAACTCGACAACAGCACGCCTCGCCGCGAGTCACTTCAACCGAACCCGACGTACGCCGCCATCGCTCAAAGCGAGCCGTCCGGGAAGGATACATGGTTCTTGGACAGTTGCTGCGGACAACATATGTGCTCTGATACCATGTTGGAAATAAGAAGTCGCTAGAGCGCAGCGGAAGCTCTAGGAATTAACGACGTCCCTACGGCGGGGCTATTGGTCACTCAGAGGTAGCTCTCCTGGCTTGTAACGTGGTGCCAAAGCAGCGGCCGAGGGTAGGCCGGACACAAGCTTGAGAATTGTGTAATATGAGCAAGGCATTACATGTTGTTATATAGCAAACGCATAGGGCAAACAGTTACCAAGGCGCAACTGTATAACAGTTGCGCTGCGTCGCTTGGGTCGCTTGTTTTTCTCCAAGTAAAACAACATGGTAATCCTTTTCTTCTAATGTCGCGTAACCTCCAGCGGTTACTTCAACCTCCGAGGGTTGACTCGCTGGTGCCTCGATATGCTCTGCTTCGCTTGTGCCTTGGTGTTTCGACACGACAGAGGCGCTTAAGATTGTTTGTTCCCAACACTCCCCTTCGCTTCTGGAGTGTCGCTGCTGGTGACGTGGCTTTGTCCAGTCAGCAGCATGCAGTACTCGAACTTTTGTTTTCCGAGCTTCTTGGTCAAGTAGTCAGCTGCCATCTCGGACGTGGGACAGTAGGATAGTTCAAGTCTCCCCTTCTCAATCTCGTCTTTCACGAAGAAATATCGCAGAGCGATATGCTTCGTTCTGTTCGCGAATCCATTTTTGTTGGCGATGCGAATTGCAGATTGGTTGTCGCAGAACAGAGTGAAGTTGGGTAACTCGGCTAACTTCGCTTCTTCCAGCAGCTCGCGAAGATAGAGTCCTTCCTTGGTGGCTGAGCAGAGTGCAATATATTCTGCTTCAGCTGACGAGAGAGCAATTAATTCCTGCTTGCTCGATTGCCAGGAGATCGGTCCGATAGGTTCGAGGCGGTAGATGTAGCCGGTGCGGGAGCGTGAAAGTCAAAGGTCAGCGACCTTTGACTTGACAAATGCAGCGCGACAGCAAGGACACACAACTGACTCGACATTGAGCAGTTGCCCGAGTCGCACTGTATCGAACCGCAACAGTAAAACAGTTTAATTATATCTCTTCGTATTCTTTGTACTCTTATATAAACCTTTGTACTTGCTTGTTTTAATCAACTTACTTTGCCCTCACATACCAGCGCAAGGTGGTTCAAGGGCTTCATTTAAACGCTTCCGCTACTACATCACTCTACCCAGAGTTTAACCCTACCAAAGATCCTAAGGGGCACTCAGCCCAACATGGTATCACGAGCAAGAGTTGTGATAATGAGAACGAGAATGAGTGAACTATGAAAATGAAGTGAGTACAAATATGAAACCCTAATTGGTTGTACCCCCTATGGGATACCCCACTATAGCCTACACAACAGCATAAGCTATAATGTTCTGACACACCCCCATAGGCAAAGTGGGGGAGAACAAGGGGTCACAAGACCAGTCAAGCAAAGCAAAGCAAAGCAAGCTCAGGGTGGATCACAAAGTCACCACACAGTCCGAGCACAGGGTCAAGGCCACACGGCCAGTTCACATGCAAGAGTACACACATATATATAAAGCTAGACAAGCAAGAGCAGGTATATAAATATGTGAGAGTACAAGCAAGGTCAAGAGGAGAGCAAGTGAGGCAAGACGGGCACAAGACCCAGCTGAGTGCAGAAGCGCTGATGATCACAAGGCGGAAGTGCCTTGGTGAAGACATCAGCAGTGTTGGCCTCAGAGGCCACGTACGCAAGCCGCAACTGTCCACATTGCTGTAGCTCACGAGCAAGGAAGTAGCGGAGAGCAATGTGCTTTGTTCTGTGCTCCAGTCACTGCTCTCGACACAAGGCCAGCATGGCCTTGTTGTCTACGTACAGGACTGGAGGAGAACGAGGCGGCTCTCCAAGGTCGGTCAGCAGGTAGGTGAGCCAGCGAAGCTCCTGTGCAGCCATGGCCCCGGCGTAGATCTCAGCCTCACAACTCGAGCCAAGAACAGAAGACGAGCGAGTAGCCCGCCACGAAACAGAGCCGGAACCAAGGCTGAAGGTGTAACCCTGTGACGACCGCTGCGTAGCCTGGTCGTCAGCCCAAGAAGCGTCCGCGTGCCCAGTGAGGACCACTGGACTCCGCCCTCCAAGCACTAGCCCCATGCCCGACGTACTGCACAAGTAGCGCAACACCCTCTTCGCTGCAGCCATGTGCTCTGGTCTGTGTCTCCCAGGAGCAACATAGCGTGCAAGAATGCTAAGAGGGTATGCAAGGTCAGGTCGTGTGCAGGTCATCAGGTACATGAGGCAGCCAACAAGCTCTGGGTACGGGCCACTCGACTCTACGGACTCATCCGAAGGCAGAGCTGAGAGCGAGTGGCGAGTAGACAGAGGAGTGGCCTGAGGCGAGGAGTACGTGAAGCCGAAGCGCTGAAGGACCTGCTGCACCATGTGTGACTGAGTCAGGGTAATGGTGCGGCGTGCTCTGTCCCGGGTGATCTGCAAGCCAAGGTAGCTGCGCAGTTCACCCAGGTCTGTGCACGTGTGTCTCTTCTGCAGCTCGGACTTCACGTAGGCGAGTCCAGCAGTGTCAGCTGTGGCAAAGACCAAGTCGTCGACGTACACGAGGATGTAGAACGGCGGCAGAGAGGTGTCGGTGCGTAGAAACAGCGACGGGTCGGCAGTAGAAGGAGCAAACCCAAGAGCCGCAAGCGTAGTCCTCAGTGTGTCGTGCCACTCACGTGGCGCCTGGCGGAGACCGTAGACTGGACGCCGGAGACTCCACTGGGTACCAGGAGGGAAAGACCCAGTGAAGCCAGGTGGGCGACGCAGCCAGATCTCCTCGTGCAGGCTGCCCTGCAAGAAAGCTGTGCTGAAGTCAAGAGAGTGCAGCTCGTAGTCACGGTGAGCAGCAGTGTGCAGCAGTACCCGAAGAGTGGTCATCTTCGGGGTGGGGGAGAAGGTCTGAAAGTAGTCAACTCCCTGCCGCTGACTGAAGCCACGAGCCACGTAACGCGCCTTGAAGACAGGCGGAGAACCCGGCGGCCGCTTCACCCTGAAGATCCACATGCCACTGACGATGTTCGCCCCAGGAGGGGGGACAGCGTCAACGTAGGTGCCTGTGGACTTCCAGGAAGCCATCTCTGCATCCATAGCTGCCTGCCACTGAGAGGAGTAGGGACCCTCTATCGCCTCCGCGTAAGAGCGCGGAGTCGGGATGTCAAGTGCATCCGGGTCTCCCTCAGGGGTAAGCAGTACGGACACGAGATGAGGTGAGGCAGCTGCCAGACACTGGAACTCCTCCTGCCTGTCCTCAAGGACGTCCGTGCCAAGGGCACACTCACCCCCGACGGACGGAGGACAGACAGACTCAGACTCAGCGACAAGACTAGCAGCGTAGTCTAAGCGACAGCGAGCAGCAAAGTCGACGAGCTCAGTAACGAGAGCAGACGCAGCAGTAGACTCGAAAGAAGGGTCAGTGACAACAGTAGCAAGGAGACGCGTGACAGTAGGACTGGCAGCACGAAGAGAGTCCGACTCCGGGTCGGGAAGAGCAGGAAGAGAGGACTCAGGAGGAGAAGGCAAAGGGGCACGCAGAGGAGCAGTGGACGGACGCAGAGACATCCGGTGCGTGCCAGGGACAGGAGGAGGACGCTGACGCGAACCGCGACCACTAGTGCGAGCAGCACGGACAGGCGACGCAGGGCGAGACGCAGGCTCACGACGCTCAGCCAGACCTCCAGTAGGACCAGTGTAGGGAGAAGGAGCAGGCAAAGGGGAGGTAGGCTGCAACTGTAGCTGGGACGAGACAGGCTGTGGACACTCTAAGGGAGGAGGAGGACCAGTAGAAGGTGGAAGACCAAGAACCTGCTGCAGGAGTGGAACGAAGTACGGTCGAGGCCGCGCGGCGACGCTAGAAGCAGCAGGGACAGCACCAGAACCCTCAGCAGGAGCACCCGCTCCAGCAGCACCACCAGTAGCTCCAGAACCTCCAGTAGCACCAGGAGCACCCCCAGTAGGACTGCCAGCGGTAGTCTCAGCGCCAACACCCTCAGCAGCACCAGCTCCAGTGCACCCAGGACGAGCACCTCCGGGACCCGCGACCGCAGCACCCTCAGCAGCCGAAGGACCTCCAGCACCAGCAGCACGCCTCCAGCGCCGGGCAAACCACTCACGCAGCTCCTGTGGAGAAAGTGGCTCCCCGGCGAGACGAAGCACTCGGAGAACCGCCAGGCGGAGCACCTCCAGGCTCAGCACCCCCAGGCGTAGCACCCCTAGGCTCAGCACCCCCAGATGTAGCACCCCTAGGCTCAGCACCCCCAGGCTCAGCACCCCTAGGCTCAGCACCCCCAGGCTCAGCACCCCCAGGCTCAGCACCCCCAGACGTAGCACCCCCAGGCCCAGCACCCCTAGGCTCCGCACCCCCAGGTACAGCACCCCAGCCTCAGCACCCTCAGCAGCACCAGAGTCACCAGTGACCTCGACAGGCTCGACTGCGTCTACCTGGGACACACCTGAAGGGGCAGGACCCTGAGGGGGGAGGGGGTCTACCTGGGGGGGACCTGGTACCAGGAAGAGTGGGGGTGGGGGGAGGGACGGAGTGCGGTAGGGGAAGAGGCGGTAGTAGGGGACCGACTCGTCAAACGTGACGTCCTGGGAGGACAGAACACGGCGAGAGGTGGGGTGGTAAAACTGCCACCCAGGCGCGTCAGGGGGGAACCCCAGGAAGACGCAAGGAGCAGCACGAGGGGATAGTTTGTCCGCAGACCGGTCGCGGACAAACGCCCGAGATCCCCAGACCCGGAACGCCGACGCATCGCCAACCTTCCCCGTCCACAGCAAGGCTGGGGAGGTCTCCGGCCTGGAGACCCTGGGGTGGAGGTTGATCTGATGCGCCGCGTACCTCACCGCAAACGGCCACAGAAAATGGGGGGCAGCCGCATGCATCATAGACGTACGAGCGACGTCCATGACCATGCCAATGCGGCGCTCAGCAATCCCATTTTGCTGCGGTGAGTCCGGAAGCGTGAAGGTCTGACGGATGCCCCGTGCACGACAGTAGGCACGCAGAAGGCCAGAGAAGAACTCTCCGCCTCGGTCCGAGTGCAGACGCAGAACAGGAAAGTCCGAGCCGAAGCTCTGCCTGAGCTGGAGACGAGCTGCGCGGATCCAGTCGATCAGCACCTCAGTGACATCACCCTTGCTGCGCAAGGGGAAGACTGTGGTGTAACGCGAGTAGTCGTCAACAACGAGCAGGAAGTAGCGCTCGTGACCCTGTCCACGGACGCGGGCTGGGCCCCACACGTCCATGTGAAGTGTCTGCAACGGGGCCTCTGTCGAAGGAAACTGGGAGGAGTGAGGGGCAGCACGCTGGCGCCCCTCAACACAGGGGACACAGGCAGGGCCAGGGCCCTGAGGAAGGGGAGGGAGGGACCGGGGGAGACCGGACACAAGAAGACGGGAGGCCATACCTCTGAGCCGAAGCAGAGAGGGGTGGCCAAGGCGGTGGTGCCAGAGGAGAGTCTCGTGAGACAGGAGACGACACGAACAGGGGCAGACTCAGGACCAGACCTGGACGCCGCAGCAAACACCTGACCCGACGTAACTACCCTACCAGACTCAGCAACTGGAGGAGACGCAGTGGTCAGAGTGTACAGGCTCGACCCCGGCTGACGGGTGAACGTAGCCAGGTGTCGGCCTGTGCCAGCCTCTGTACAGTGGGTCACTCGCTGACGTGCAGGAGTGAACTGGTGGACACCCGCATCCTGTAGGTCAGCACCACTCACCAGGTTCGTCGAGAACGAGGGAGGTAGAGACCAGACAGGGTGCCAGAGGGAGCCGCCGGACCACGGGAGGACTGTGGAGAAACGAGACAGGACCGGACCCCCAGAGGGGTCAGCCAGAGACACCGCAAACCGGCCGACTAAGCGGCGTGAGTGTGGTGCGGTCCCGAAAGAAGGAGCGAGACGCCCCAGAGTCAAGAGTGAAGGTGAGGGAGGCCGAAGCCGACCGCGGTACCTGAGAGAGCAGACTCACCAGTACCTGAGGACGCAGACACACCAGCACCTAGAGCAGCAGCGTCGTAAGCACCTAGGGCAGCAGCCTCACCAGTACCTAGAGCAGCAGTCTCAATGCCCGGATCGGGCTGGAAACACCGGTAACAGTCACCCTCATCACTTAGAGACACAGCATACATGGCAGAGAGAATAGCATCAAAGTCCAGATCAAAGATGGCAACCCCCGCCCTAAACAGCTCGTCCCAGCGAGGGATCTCGGAGGCCTCCGGGAACTGGTGACGCCATGCGTCCGTCAGGCGGCCAAAGCAGCGCGGAGTGGGGTGCGCACCCCCACACTGCTCACCCGCACGGTCGCCGGTGCGCAGGACGTAGGTACACGGACCAAAACCCCCACCCCGCTGGCGTGCAGTGTACCACTCACGGAGCTGCTGAGGGGACAGGGTCGCACGACCACGCTGCTGCTGCTGGCGCGAGCCACCACCGGAGCCACTCCTCTGCAAAGACCCGCGACCAGCTCCACCGCCACCCCCACCGCCTCCACCGCCTCCGCTGCCTCCACTGCCGCCGCCGCCTCCACCGCCTCCTCCACCGCCGCCTCCTCCGCCACCTCCGCTACCACCGCCACCGCCGCCGCGGCCTCCGCCTCCACTGCCGCCACCGAACCCCCCACCCCCACTTCCACCTCCACCGCTACCCCCACTCCCCCCACTGCCTCCACCTCCACCTCCACCGCCCGCTCCTCCAGCTCCCTTGCCCCCCTTGCCCTTGCCAGGGCGGCGTCTCCCGCTAGGGGCAGACGCCGCACCGACCGACTCAAGACCAAGGAGGTCGGCCGAAGCAGCAGAGGCAACAGAGGGCAGCAGGGGGGAGGGAGAACACCCCTCAAAGATGGGGTGCGCGGGTCACCTCGAGAGGCTCCTACAGCGACTATGCTCTTTTCTATCGCGAGGAGGGCCTTCTCGAGGAGGTCTACAGTGAGTGTGGTGGGACAGACTGAGAGAAAGTGGTCCCTGACTACTCGAAGGGAGTCAGGGAGGCGAGTGACTAGGAAGTACAGAGTGATGTACATGGGGGGGGGTTCGCGGTGCAGAAGTCAGCAGGAAGTGCAGCGCGGTAGCGAGTGTCACTAGTGCGGAGGTGCGTAATGAGGTCAGCAACGTGGGAAAAGAAGCAAGGTCAGGGAAGAGGTACGGCAGCATGAGACGGCTCAGTGCAGCAGTGGAAGGGGAGGAGTAGCGCGCGACTACAGCGGCGTACAAGGTCTGAGCACTCTTGTACTGACTAAAGTGCGCACGCTCGGAGGTAGGGAGGTGGCGACGCACAGCAAGACGTGCAGCAGCATCGCGCGTGGCCCATTGGGAGCGAACAGTGGCGTCAAGCATCAGCAGCAGGGGCAGGGGAAGCGCCAGAGGTGAGGTCAAAGAGAGAGAGGCCGTCCGCCCTATCGCACTGTAAGAACAGCTGTAGGTCATCTACCCAGACCTCAAAGTCAATGGCCCGACCCTCAGCGTCAAAAGTGAGGACACTAGGGGTAGCCATGACAGCAGTAGACCAGCAGTGCAAGGAGTAGGGGAAGAGCACGCAGTGACAGAGGGTCTGTGCTCACCGGACAGGGCTGCTCGGGCGGCTCGGCTGCAGGGCGGCTCGGCCGCTGGGCGGCTCGGCGGCTGGGCGGCTCGGCGGCTGGGCGGTCGGCTGCACGGCGGCTCGGCTGGTGGGCGGCCGGGCGGCTCGGCTGCAGCGCGGCTCGGCGGCGGGGCGGCTCGGCTGCTCTGCTGCTGGGCGGCTCGGCTGCGCTGCTGTTGGGCGGCTCGGCTGGGCCGCTGACGTAGGGCGGCGGGGCCGCTGTAGAGGAGTGGCGGGGCCGCTGCAGAAGGACGGCGGGGCCGCTGGGTAGTGAGGCGGCGGGGCCGCGAAGACGGGCGGCGGGGCCGCTGCAGAGAAGCGGCGGGGCCGCAGTGAAGGGCGGCGGGGCCGCAACGAGAGAGGCGGCGGGGCCGCAGCGAGAGAAGCGGCGGGGCCGCGAAGTCGGGCGGCGGGGCCGCTGAGTAGGGCGGCGGGGCCGCAGTGAGAGGCGGCGGGGCCGCAGCGAGAGAGGCGGCGGGACCGCGAAGACGGGCGGCGGGGCCGCTGAGGACGGGTGGCGGGGCCGCAGTGAGTGGCGGCGGGGCCGCAGCGAGAGATGGCGGCGGGGGCCGCGAAGACGGGCGGCGGGGCCGCAACGAGAGAGGCGGCGGGGCCGCAGAAAAGGGGGGGCGACGGGCCCGTAGGCGGCGCGAAGCCGCAGGTAAGGGCGGCGACGGGCCGGGGCGGCTCGAAGCCGCAGATAGAGGCGGCACGAAGCCGCGGGAAGGGCGGCGACGGGCCTGGGCGGCGCGAAGCCGCAGGTAGGGGCGGCGCGAAGCCGCCGGTGAGGGCGGCGCAAAGCCGCGGGTAAGGGCGGCGACGGGCCGGGAAAAGGGCGGCGCGCCGCAGCCGCTAGGGCGGCTCGACGCGACCGTAAGGGCGGCGCGACGGGCCGCTAGGTGCGACTCGACGGGTCGCTAAAAAAAAAAAGGCAGGCGCGACTCGAGGCGCGCTTCGGTGGGCCCAAGGAACAGTCCCTAGGAGGGGACCTGCTCTGATTCCATGTGATAATGAGAACGAGAATGAGTGAACTATGAAAATGAAGTGAGTACAAATATGAAACCCTAATTGGTTGTACCCCCTATGGGATACCCCACTATAGCCTACACAACAGCATAAGCTATAATGTTCTGACAAGAGTTCCAATCCTCTTCAAGTGATTGTACGCGAGCTCCGCGGAGTTGCCGTAGCCTCGGTAAGACCGTATGTTTTGTTGTTGAGTTGGAGTGATGTTCCTCAGTAGTATCGTGTACGCCATCATCGATTGATAGGTGTACTGCTGCTTCTCATACTGTGTGCCGTTTGTTGGGTATGGCAGGGACCCGTCGAAGAAGCCAAGGATTTGCGCTCCTTCCATCATCAGCTCGAATTCGAACGACCAGGTAAAGAAATCCTTCCCGTCGAAGGGTTTTGTCGTTTGCAGTTTTAGAACGTGCGCGAACTGCGACTGAACTTGTAGTGCGTCCAGCGTTCTCTCTTGTCCCGGTGCAGGTTGTGGTTGTGGCATGAAGCTGACGGAGCCGCGCTGGGGCTCGTACGGAGCGAAGGTAGGTTGCTGTTGTTGATTCCCGCGTGCGTAGGATGAGCCATCGAGACTCATGGGCGTCACGTTGTTGTTGTTGTTGCTGTTGTTGATTGCGCAGGTGCTCCTTGCTGATGCTGCTCGTAGAAGGACATGAAGGAGAAGAACTTCTCCATCATGCTTGGATCGAAGCCCGCGCCTTGGTTGCGGGTGTTTCAGTAGACCCAGCTGCCGGTCTCGTTGTTGTGCCTTCCCTCTGTCTGTAGGCCAGAGGCAGGAGGTGGAGTAGGAGTAGTACCAGGAGAGCCGTTGGAGGAGCTCCTCTCCTTTCTGGTAGACATGTCTCTTGGTGTATTAGGTGTTAAGGAGAAATAATTTTACCCTAACCAGCTCTCATACCATGTTGGGCTGAGTGCCCCTTAGGATCTTTGGTAGGGTTAAAACTCTGGGTAGAGTGATGTAGTAGCGGAAGCGTTTAAATGAAGTCCTTGAACCACCTTGCGCTGGTATGTGAGGGCAAAGTAAGTGATTAAAACAAGCAAGTACAAAGGTTTTATATA